GTCTATACACGGTATACAAGGGTACACGTATAAGGTACTGGGCCCGCCAAACAATCTTCAGGTCTATACACGGTATACAAGGGTACACGTATAAGGTACTGGGCCCGCCAAACAATCTTCAGGTCTATACACGGTATACAAGGGTACACGTATAAGGTACTGGGCCCGCCAAACAATCTTCAGGTCTATACACGGTATACAAGGGTACACGTATAAGGTACTGGGCCCGCCAAACAATCTTCAGGTCTATACACGGTATACAAGGGTACACGTATAAGGTACTGGGCCCGCCAAACAATCTTCAGGTCTATACACGGTATACAAGGGTACACGTATAAGGTACTGGGCCCGCCAAACAATCTTCAGGTCTATACACGGTATACAAGGGTACACGTATAAGGTACTGGGCCCGCCAAACAATCTTCAGGTCTATACACGGTATACAAGGGTACACGTATAAGGTACTGGGCCCGCCAAACAATCTTCAGGTCTATACACGGTATACAAGGGTACACGTATAAGGTACTGGGCCCGCCAAACAATCTTCAGGTCTATACACGGTATACAAGGGTACACGTATAAGGTACTGGGCCCGCCAAACAATCTTCAGGTCTATACACGGTATACAAGGGTACACGTATAAGGTACTGGGCCCGCCAAACAATCTTCAGGTCTATACACGGTATACAAGGGTACACGTATAAGGTACTGGGCCCGCCAAACAATCTTCAGGTCTATACACGGTATACAAGGGTACACGTATAAGGTACTGGGCCCGCCAAACAATCTTCAGGTCTATACACGGTATACAAGGGTACACGTATAAGGTACTGGGCCCGCCAAACAATCTTCAGGTCTATACACGGTATACAAGGGTACACGTATAAGGTACTGGGCCCGCCAAACAATCTTCAGGTCTATACACGGTATACAAGGGTACACGTATAAGGTACTGGGCCCGCCAAACAATCTTCAGGTCTATACACGGTATACAAGGGTACACGTATAAGGTACTGGGCCCGCCAAACAATCTTCAGGTCTATACACGGTATACAAGGGTACACGTATAAGGTACTGGGCCCGCCAAACAATCTTCAGGTCTATACACGGTATACAAGGGTACACGTATAAGGTACTGGGCCCGCCAAACAATCTTCAGGTCTATACACGGTATACAAGGGTACACGTATAAGGTACTGGGCCCGCCAAACAATCTTCAGGTCTATACACGGTATACAAGGGTACACGTATAAGGTACTGGGCCCGCCAAACAATCTTCAGGTCTATACACGGTATACAAGGGTACACGTATAAGGTACTGGGCCCGCCAAACAATCTTCAGGTCTATACACGGTATACAAGGGTACACGTATAAGGTACTGGGCCCGCCAAACAATCTTCAGGTCTATACACGGTATACAAGGGTACACGTATAAGGTACTGGGCCCGCCAAACAATCTTCAGGTCTATACACGGTATACAAGGGTACACGTATAAGGTACTGGGCCCGCCAAACAATCTTCAGGTCTATACACGGTATACAAGGGTACACGTATAAGGTACTGGGCCCGCCAAACAATCTTCAGGTCTATACACGGTATACAAGGGTACACGTATAAGGTACTGGGCCCGCCAAACAATCTTCAGGTCTATACACGGTATACAAGGGTACACGTATAAGGTACTGGGCCCGCCAAACAATCTTCAGGTCTATACACGGTATACAAGGGTACACGTATAAGGTACTGGGCCCGCCAAACAATCTTCAGGTCTATACACGGTATACAAGGGTACACGTATAAGGTACTGGGCCCGCCAAACAATCTTCAGGTCTATACACGGTATACAAGGGTACACGTATAAGGTACTGGGCCCGCCAAACAATCTTCAGGTCTATACACGGTATACAAGGGTACACGTATAAGGTACTGGGCCCGCCAAACAATCTTCAGGTCTATACACGGTATACAAGGGTACACGTATAAGGTACTGGGCCCGCCAAACAATCTTCAGGTCTATACACGGTATACAAGGGTACACGTATAAGGTACTGGGCCCGCCAAACAATCTTCAGGTCTATACACGGTATACAAGGGTACACGTATAAGGTACTGGGCCCGCCAAACAATCTTCAGGTCTATACACGGTATACAAGGGTACACGTATAAGGTACTGGGCCCGCCAAACAATCTTCAGGTCTATACACGGTATACAAGGGTACACGTATAAGGTACTGGGCCCGCCAAACAATATCCAGGTCTATACACGGTATACAAGGGTACACGTGTAAGGTACGGGGCCCGCCAAACAATATCCAGGTCTATACACGGTATACAAGGGTACACGTGTAAGGTACTGGCCCCGTCAAACAATCTTCAGGTCTATAACGTTAACAGTATACAAGGGTAAAGTACGTATAAGGTACTGGGCCCTCCAAACAATCTTCAGGTCTGTACACGGTATACAAGGGTACACGTATAAGGTACAGGGCCCGCCAAACAATCTTCAGAGAGATAATAGAAGAGTCTTACTATTGTAGCGATACACATACAAGTAAATGTTTGTCCAGAAAACTTCCAACCATACGTTTTGAACAGGTTCCAATTTGATTTTGTGTTCGATTGATAAACATTTCTCAGGAATCAAATGTTACTTGGGAATGTAGACCTTACAGACATATTGGTCTGTACAGAAACCTATCTCGTCATTCCCTCTCGGCTCTATAGATCTGTTCTCCATGATAAAACTAACGTTTTAGGGAGGAAGACTTTGATTGTATGTATCCGTCGACGTATACGTCTTGCCTTTTAATACAACAACGACGGGCACCGATGTATTCCGGGCTAATAATACTTTACCGTAAATTATTCATGTGACTGTGGAATTGCTGTTCTCGTCACTGTCAGAGTTGATGAGTAAAATGTGCGCTTCGTCTCCGGTAATGGCCGTCGGCCGAAAAACCCTCCCGTTCAATTACTACGGTTTAAGCGGTCATTAAACCAGCAGTCGTATTTATATTCCACCAAATCGCACGTGCCTGTGCCCCGCACAACCGAATTACGTCATATATATATACCTTGTGCTGGCTCGTCTAGTGTAGTCAAATTGACGTTTGGTTTTCTTCGCAGACACTAGAACCAATTACTCTGTACTAACTTTTCTCAAATTCCTCATGACAAAGTGTCTGATGTAATTGTAGGCGTATTTCACAACCGTTCCGACATAGGTCACAAGGGATGTGCTCAAAAGCTTTATAATGTGACAAAACTTGTAGAAATGAACAGTGGCCATATATTGATCTGTCTGAGTGAAATTAAGTGTTTCATATTTACTTACATCTAGCATTTGTAATTTGATTAGGTATAATGACGTTTCCAGTGATTGAGATGTTAGAATAAATGCATGTCAGTTGCTTGGAAACAAATTTATCACGTGATGATTACACTCTAAACGTGAGAGATGTTCTACTTTCATATTTTCGCGTACTTGTGATTCCATTGAGACTTTTTGTTTATTGTTTTATAACAGTGATGTGCTAAGGATTGTTATGTTACACTCGCCAATATCTTCAAATAAGTTTTCTTATTCATGATGGTGTCTTAGAAAGTTTTGATAATATGTTCATGCGGTTGTGTGTGTTTTAATATAATGTAAAACACACTAATAAAATTCGTTCTTTTACAATCAAAGTAAAATTGAACTCTCTATCAGGAATACACTACATAGAGATGCTGAGAATATACATGTGTGTTTTAAATCATTCGTCATCGTTCTAATATTCCCATTGGTACATACTAGTGCTGACACTTCATTATTGCTTATTCAATTTACTGTTTATTATTTAAGGCTCGCGTGCTTTTTAGATAGAGTATATAGACACTATCACACTTACGTTTGTATCTGATGTCACGGATTGCACGGGTCAATTGTACGTGTGAATAAAGTTGCCACACGAGTGAAATTAACATTCATACATCATGAAATCAAGACAAGTACTGCTCTGTATGTTACGTTGCTCTTTAGAGAGATATTACTTCAGTGTACAGGGGATACAACGTCCACCAATAGTGTGGCGGCAAGGAATGCTGTGTCGCTAACAAGTCAGGCATCCGTGACGTCACAATTAACACTGCCCATTTGCTGTTATTTCACAATATTTACATTCTGTATGCTTAGACCCATTGACAAAAATTACATTCATAAATGCATAACACAGGTGTTCATAGAATCTCAGCACGTGGGAACTGATAGTAACCTGATCACACTGCGTAGTAATACACTACAAAAACTACTCACTCGGAACGACCGACCTAGATGCTTAATTCTTACATCTTAAAATATTATTGAACTGTGCTTTGTGAAATATCCACGTATTCACGTGTCCTGTGCTACAAATAAACATTGAATATGGAACTACATTTTGTTGTGTTATTGTTGTTGACGGTTGCTAAGATCTCTCACGATAGTGTCACATTTCCCCGCGAAAAAACACTGTTCTCGCCACTGCGTTGCACCCGTGTATAAGCAGGAACAAACCCTGTTTATTTGTTTTATTCGTTGTTATATCGATCCACTGAAAGGATTCGTCAATGTAAATATAAGGAATGATATTTATTTTTTCAACATTTATGAGGTCATAACAACAATGGGTTTTTGGACATATTTTACATGAATCGCTAACGCGATTCATTCAATATGTCCATAAACTCAGTGTTGTTATGACCTCATAAATGTTGAAAAAATAAAAATCATTCCTTAAATAAAAAACGCTCTCTTACTGGTCAGCTAGATGTGAAAATATCTAAAAAAAGTGATTTTTTTTGTTGTTTTTCGAATAGCTATATGTTTGCAGTAAAACCTTAGATTTCACCGGGGGAAATATGATAACATATGTTGTATTCTTTAGTACGTAGTACATATGTAACACCTCGAGGCAGTGTTGTTGTGTTAAATGTGTAACTTGAAGTTCTATAAACAAGCCTGTCTCTGATATGTTTCAGGATGAGAAGAACCAACTATTGATCACAAACGCCTGGCTACAACATGTAAGTAAATCTATCTATACATAAATTGAACTATACACCAAATCAATCAATAAACCTGTTCAATCCAACACGACTACGCAGTGTAAAACGATACATATTGATAAAGCATACTTTGGAAGTAAGTTGGGGCAGAACAATTCCAGACAGTACGTATATTGCTTTATCAGTATTAATAACCAAAAAACGTATTAACATTCGCTCCCATCCTTCTCTGTAATACTTTTTCGCAATTCAATTACATGGGAAATTGCTCCATTGAAAAATGGTTTGTCAGAACCGTTATATGTAAAGCATCTGGCCTTGTCCAGACAAAAGAGAAAACCACAAATTAGAAGATGCTAGCTTACATACAAGCCTCACTTATTAGTATCATTGCCGGAACCTAATGGATATTCGTTCCTAATGGACACTTTTGACGTATTAATTACCCTATGATCCAGTTAGCAATGTACAGTAACGGGCCTCAAACTTATAGGCATACCTATCATTGAACAAACAATAAAAGGAATTCAATTTTCAAACTATTGTGTCACGAATTTCAGAAGTCAGTTTTTTTTAAATACTCTAAGGTTACTGAACGTGTTTAGGGTAGCATTGTCTATATCCTCAAGCAAAGCTATGGGAACAATTTCATAAGGAATCCCGCTTCTTCCTTCATTAGATTGCTTTACAAAGTTGTAGATATTTTTGTGAAGGTTCCCAGAGTTATACATGAAGCATAGTTAGAGATGGGTTCAGGAGTAATGGTGATTTATTTGAGTCTAAGAGTACAAATGTGTGTCTATTCCTTACTCCTATTTGGGACACTCCTCATGGGAAAACGCCCTCTAGTTCAACCTTTGTGGTCAGTACATGAATGTAATCAATCAGCTGTCCTACACAGAACGTACGCGCACAGATTGTTGGAACGAGGTTGGGGACATGAAAGTTTTGATGTAACGGATATACACACCATCTTGATCTAAAGGGAAACGTTTCATTCATTACAGTATAATGTGACAGACATCAGCACATCTGAAAATGTGCAATTATTAAAAAGTAAATGTATGAAATCGGGAATGTTTATATCAATGATCTGTTACCGTAACGGTATCACATAGAGGTTTCTTCTTCAAAAGATATAGGGTATGCTACAAATGTAATATTATTAAGTTACGTGCCTTTCTGGACAGTTCATTTAGATTCATCAAAGGGAATGTAACATCTTTCTAAACACGTTGCAGAACAATAATTAATGGCAAATGTTTTTCTTCAGTTGAGGTTTATCAGTATATTTTCTGTACGTCGTAAGGAAAATGTGAATTGCTTCCCTGTTTATGTAAGATTTGTCTCCAGACCCATACCACGATATACCTCAGCAGAACAAAATTTAAACCTGGTATGTAAATGTGCCCTAACCCCTCCTGCTGGGTAACATTCTTGATCCATCTAATGATTTAGAACTGGATTCGATATGGGTATATAATAGCCGTCTCTGACAGTTCATCAAGAAACAGTGTAAATAGCAAAACAAAGAAATTTGATATTAACATTATTTATTTTATATTATTATTTTAATTGATTTTGAGCTAACTCTGATTGGCTTAAACATCATGTGACCACCTGTATAAACCTGAGTGGTTTGCAGGTGTTCAAAAAAATTGGCAGAACAAGTATTATTAACCTGCTATAAATAGATTCTGTAACAGGTGTTCAAAAAAGTTGGTAGAAAAAGTGTTATTAACCGGCTATAAATAGATTCTGGAACAGGTGTTCAAAAAAGTTGATAGAAAAAGTGTTATTAACCTGCTATAATTAGATTCTGGAAAAAAATGGAAAAAAATGTAAAACTATATTTTTTCACATTTTTTTCTTCAATTTTGAAAAAGATCAATTAAAATAATAAAATTATTGTATCATGGTGATTTCGGTTAATACATGGTTTTATCGACCTAGGTTAGCAATATTGACCTCGGATTACGTCCTCGGTTAATATTACTAACCTAGCTGGTTGATAAAACCATGTATTGACCTCATCACCATGCTATAATTGTATATTAAAAAATAATACGAACAAAGCTAAATATTTATAAGTAGTTTCGGCAATTTAGCTGAAATGTATAATACATTCATTGGGTGGTTTACTAGAAGCGTACCTTAGGTAGTTTAACACGATTGTAAGTCAAATATATATATATATATATATATATATTTTTAACACACAGACATGGATCGATGAACGCATCAGCTGGGACGCTAAGGATTACAATGGACTCGAGGTTATACGCCTTCCCGCCAAAAAGTTATGGTTACCTGATGTTGTTTTGTATAATAAGTAAGTTCCTTCCTTGGTACCCATTACGTTACCTGTGTGAGTGTTTGTATAATTAGTAAGTTCCTTCCTTTACCTGTATGGCTGTATCCTTGGTATCCATTCCTTTACCTGTGTGACTGTATCCTTGGTACCAATTCCTTTACCTATGTGACTGTATCCTTGGTATCCCTTTCTTTACCTGTGTGACTGTATCCTTGATATCCCTTCCTTTACCTGTGTGACTGTATCTTTGGAACCCATTCCTTTACCTGTGTGACTGTATCCTTGGTATCCCTTCCTTTACCTGTGTGACTGTATCATTGGTATCCATTCCTTTACATGTGTGACTGTATCCTTGGTACCCATTCCTTTACGTGTGTGACTGTATCCTTAGTATCCCTGCCTTTACCTGTGTGACTGTATCCTTGGTACTCATTCCTTTACCTGTGTGACTGTATCCTTGATATCCCTTCCTTTACCTGTGTGACTGTATCATTGGTACCCATTCCTTTACCTGTGTGACTGTATCTTTGGAACCCATTCCTTTACCTGTGTGACTGTATCCTTGGTATCCATTCCTTTACCTGTATGACTGTATCCTTGGTATCCCTTTATTTACCTGTGTGACTGTTTCCTTGGTATCCCTTTCTTTACCTGTGTGACTGTATCCTTGATTCCTTTACCTGTATGACTGTATCCTTGGTATCCCTTTCTTTACCTGTGTGACTGTATCCTTGGTACCAATTCCTTTACCTATGTGACTGTATCCTTGGTATCCCTTTCTTTACCTGTGTGCCTGTATCCTTGGTATTCCTTCCTTTACCTGTGTGACTGTATCATTGGTATCCATTCCTTTACCTGTATGACTGTATCCTTGGTTCCCATTCCTGTACCTGTGTGACTGTATCCTTGGTACCCTTTCCTTTACCTGTGTGACTGTTTCCTTGGTATCTCTTTCTTAACCTGTGTGACTGTATCCTTGGTATCACTGCCTTAAACTTTGTGACTGTATCCTTGGTACCCATTCCTTTACCTGTGTGACTGTATCCTTGGTACCCATTCCTTTACCTGTGTGACTGTATCCTTGGTATCCCTTCCTTTACCTGTGTGACTGTATCCTTGGTACCCCTTCCTTTACCTGTATGACTGTATCCTTGGTTCTCATTCCTTTACCTGTATGACTGTATCCTTGGTACCCATTCCTTTTCCTGTGTGACTGTATCCTTGATATCCCTTTCTTTACCTGTGTGACTGTATCCTTGGTGCCCCTTCCTTTACCTGTATGACTGTATCCTTGGTCCCCATTCCTTTTCCTGTGTGACTGTATCCTTGGTACCCATTCCGTTACCTGTGTGACTGTATCCTTGGTACCAATTCCTTTACCTATGTGACTGTATCCTTGGTACCCATTCCTCTACCTGTGTGACTGTATGCTTGGTATCCCTTCCTTTACCTGTGTGGTGATTGTATCCTTGGTATCCATTCCTTTACCTGTGTGACTGTATACTTGGTACCCATTCCTTTACCTGTGTGACTGTGTGACTGTATCCTTGGTTCCCATTCCTCTACCTGTGTGACTGTATGCTTGGTATCCCTTCCTTTGCCTGTGTGACTGTATCCTTGGTACCCATTCCTTTTCCTGTGTGACTGTATCCTTGGTACCCATTCCCTTTACCTGTGTGACTGTATCCTTGGTACCAATTCCTTTACCTGTGTGACTGTATCCTTCGTACCAATTCCTTTACCTGTGTGACTGTATCCTATCCTTGGTATCCCTTTCTTTACCTGTGTGACTGTTTCTTTACCTGTGTGACTGTATCCTTGGTATTTTTTCCTTTACCTGTGTGACTGTATCCTTCGTACCAATTCCTTTACCTGTGTGACTGTATCCTGGGTATCCCTTCCTTTACCTGTGTGACAGTATCCTTGCTAGCCTTTCCTTTACCTGTGTGACTGTATCCTTAGTACCCATTCCTTTACCTGTGTGACTGTGTGACTGTATCCTTGGTTCCCATTCCTCTACCTGTGTGACTGTATCCTTGCTCCCCATTCCTTTACCTGTGTGACTGTATCTTTGGTATCCCTTCCTTTACATGTGTGACTGTATCCTTGGTATCTCTTCCTTTCCCTGTGTGATAGTATCTTTGGTATCCCTTCCTTTATCTGTGTGACTGTATCCTTGGTACCCATTCCGTTACCTGTGTGACTGTATCCTTGGTACCCATTCCCTTTACCTGTGTGACTGTATCCTTGGTAACCATTCCTTTACCTGTGTGACTGTATCATTGTTATCCATTCCTTTACCTGTGTGACTGTATACTTGGTACCCATTCCTTTACCTGTGTGACTGTATTCTTGGTACCCATTCCTTTACCTGTATGACTTTATCCTTGGTTCCCATTCCTTTACCTGTGTGACTGTATTCTTGGTACCCCTCCTTTACCTGTGTGACTGTATCCTTGTATCCTTGGTACCAATTCCTTTACCTGTGTGACTGTATCCTTGGGATCCCTTCCTTTACCTGTGTGACTGTATTTCCTTTACCTGTGTGACTGTATCCTTGTGGTATCCCTTCCTTTACCTGTGTGACAGTATCCTTGCTAGCCTTTCCTTTACCTGTGTGACTGTATCCTTGTATCCTTGGTACCAATTCCTTTACCTATGTGACTGTATCCTTGGTACCCATTCCCTTTACCTGTGTGACTGTATCCTTGGGACCACCAATTCCTTTCTCGTGTGATTATATCCTTGGTATCCATTCCTTTACCTGTGTGACTGTATCATTGTTATCCATTCCTTTACCTGTGTGACTGTATACTTGGTACCCATTCCTTTACCTGTGTGACTGTGTGACTGTATCCTTGGTTCCCATTCCTCTACCTGTGTGACTGTATCCTTGGTAACCATTCCTTTACCTGTGTGACTGTATCCTATCCTTGGTATCCCTTTCTTTACCTGTGTGACTGTTTCCTTGGTATCCCTTTCTTTACCTGTGTGACTGTATCCTTGGTGCCCATTCCTCTACCTGTGTGACTGTATCCTTGGTATCTTGGTACCCATTCCTTTACCTGTGTGACTTTATTCTTGGTACCCATTCCTTTACCTGTATGACTGAATCCTTGGTACCCATTCCTTTACCTGTGTGACTGTGTGACTGTATCCTTGGTTCCCATTCCTTTACCTGTGTGACTGTATATTCCTTTACCTGTGTGATTGTATCCTTGGTACCCTTCCTTTTCCTGTGTGACTGTATCCTTGATATCCCTTCCTTTACCTGTGTGACTGTATTTCCTTTACCTGTGTGACTGTATCCTTAGTACCCATTCCTTTACCTGTGTGACTGTATTCTTGGTACCCCTCCTTTACCTGTGTGACTGTATCCTTGTATCCTTGGTACCAATTCCTTTACCTGTGTGACTGTATCCTTGGTATCTCTTCCTTTACCTGTGTGACAGTATCCTTGGTATCCCTTCCTTTACCTGTGTGACTGTATCCTTGGTACCCATTCCTTTACCTGTGTGACTGTATCCTTGGTATCCCTTCCTTTACCTGTATGACTGTATCATTGGTATCCCTTCCTTTACCTGTGTGACTGTATCCTTGGTACCCATTCCTTTACCAGTGTGACTGTATCCTTGGTACCCATTCCTTTACCTGTGTGACTGTATTCTTGGTACCCATTCCTTTACCTGTATGACTGTATCCTTGGTACCCGTTCCTTTACCTGTGTGACTGTATCCTTGGTATCCCTTCCTTTACCTGTGTAACTGTATCCTTGGTATCCCTTCCTCTACCTGTGTGACTGTATCCTTGGTATCCTTTCCTTTACCTGTGTGACTGTATCATTGGTACCCATTCCTTTACCTGTGTGACTGTATCATTGGTATCCATTCCTTTACCTGTGTGACTGTATCCTTGGTATCCTTTCCTTTACCTGTATGACTGTATCCTTGGTTCCCATTCCTCTACCTGTGTGACTGTAACCTTGGTATCCATTCCTTTACCTGTGTGACTGTATCCTTGGTACCCATTCCTTTACCTGTGTGACTGTATCCTTGGTACCCTTCCTTTACCTGTGTGACTGTATCCTTGGTATCCCTTCCTTTACCTGTGTGACTGTATCCTTGATATCCCTTTCTTTACCTGTGTGACTGTATCCTTGGTATCCCTTCCTTTACCTGTGTGACTGTTTCCTTGGTATCCCTTCCTTTACCAGTGTGACTGTATCCTTGATATCCCTTTCTTTACCTGTGTGACTGTGACTGTATCCTTGGTATTTTTTCCTTTACCTGTGTGACTGTTTCCTTGGTATCCCTTCCTTTACCTGTGTGACTGTAGCCTTGGTACCCTTCCTTTACCTGTGTGACTGTATCCTTGGTACCCATTCCTTTACCTGTGTGACTGTATCCTTGGTACCCATTCCTTTACCTGTGTGACTGTATCCTTGGTACCCATTCCTTTACCTGTGTGACTTTATCCTTGGTTCCCATTTCTTTACCTGTGTGACTGTATCCTTGGTACCCATTCCTTTACCTGTGTGACCGTTTCCTTGGTACCCATTCCTTTACCTATGTGACTGTATCCTTGGTACCCATTCCTTTACCTGTATGACTTTATCCTTGGTTCCCATTCCTTTACCTGTGTGACTGTATCCTTGGTACCAATTCCTTTACCTGTGTGACTGTATCTTTGGTTTCCCTTCCTTAATCTGTGTGACTGTATCCTTGGTATCCATTCCTTTACCTGTGTGACTGAATCCTTGGTACCAATTCCTTTACCTGTGCGACTGTATCTTTGGTTTCCCTTCCTTAATCTGTGTGACTGTATCCTTGTGATCCATTCCTTTACCTGTGTGACTGTATCCTTGGTTGCCTTCCTTTACCTGTGTGAATGTATCCTTGGTATCCCTTCCTTTTCCTGTGTGACTGTATCCTTTGTATCCATTCCTTTACCTGCATGACTGTATCCTTGGTTCCCATTCCTTTACCTGTATGACTGTATCCTTGGTTCCCATTCCTCTACCTGTGTGACTGTTTTCTTGGTATCCTTTCCTTTACTTGTATGACTGTATCCTTGGTACCCATTCCTCTACCTGTGTGACTGTATCCTTGGTATCCATTCCTTTACCTGTGTGACTGTATCCTTGGTACCCTTCCTTTACCTGTGTGACTGTATCCTTGGTATCCCTTCCTTTACCTGTGTGACTGTATCCTTGATATCCCTTTCTTTACCTGTGTGACTGTATCCTTGGTATCCTTTCCTTTACCTGTGTAACTGTAGTTGTTACACGATACACACACACACACACACACACACTAGCCATAGCATGACAGTGGATTAATTAAATTTCCCTCACACTTAATTTTGTTACAAAGCATTTCTACCAAATTTGCGAATTCAATTCGATTTTCATGCAAATTTACGAAATCAGATAGCAGAAAAACAATTATTACTCGATGCAGTAAAACACTTTATTACTTGATACATGTATGACCGTTTTGTCCATCTGTCACTTCCGGTGGTGCACCACTGGTACTGACACTTTTGTGGTATTTCTAGAAAGTGTGATGCCGAACAATCCTACCGTACAACACGTGTTTGATTTATTATTCTCAACGTTAAATCGCCTCGTTCTTGACAATGTACTATAAGTGCCACGATGTATGTAGTACCGGAAACACGTGACATCAAGGTCACTGTCCTGATTACGTTTGTTTCTGTCGGGAATAACTGACGACGTAGGCACAATTCTGTGAACAGATTTCCAAATGATGTAAAAATGCAAATCAAATTTGATTTTTTAATTTCTTTTTAAGACCAATTTGACATTGTTATCATGACCGAGGTCACACCTGTCATAAACAGATGTTAAACACAAAACAGCAGCTATTTGTTATTCCACAAGGCATGTAGTCGCACGTGCTGTTATGTAAGGCATGCAAATGACATTTCAGAAATGAAACAAATGCGAACTACCAATGACAAAAACTTAACAATTAATTGGAAATGAGTGACAAGTAACAAGTGTATTATACTTACGATTAGGTCGGTCCAGATTATATCGGAGTTAAAATGATGTGTATTTTATGTGAACCAAATATCATGTCATATACAGATATAAATTAGATTGTATCCTGTAGAATAAAATATGATACCGCTGACAACTATAAAATAACGAATATACCAAATACTCTTTTCCCATGGAATTGAGATGTAAACGATGGAAATAGTTCAGTTAAAACACTACCTAAAACATTAAAACATGAATCCCAATTTAAATACTTTTATCTCTTAAACCGCGCCCGAAATGTGATTAACCCGAACATATACGATTGACAAGCTATTTTAGCATGTGTAAGTTTGAAAATAAATGTCAACATTCCATATCAGCCATTTATCACACGACAAACGATAGGATTATTCATCCCTTGTTATATCAAAATTCAATCTAGGGACAGTTTTTATATCCCAATTCAAATGCTATATTTAGACACCAGATTCCAATGATTGGTGCCCAGACAACTGTTTGAAGGACTTGTTTCAAAGACTACTATGAATTCTTGAAATCAGCAATGACTTTCTGTTATTCAAAAAGAATATCTACTCATAAAACATCTTTGAAAGTTGACAAAGATTTACAGATTTTTTTTCATCGCTGTTAATTTCTATACACTGTACACTTGGATGTAACTTGTAACGAGCTTTTACGGTTTCGTTTCTGTATTTACTGATGATTTACAACTAAATATCTGTGTGTGTCTTGCGTACATAACTCTACCTCGCGTTTTGTACTCAAATGGGTGTAACTAGATATACTACGATTTCTCGTTTCATTGTGTTTCAGTGCAGACGACTATACCTCCGGATTTATGCCTATAAATGCTATGGTGAAATATAATGGAGAAATATTTTGGTCGCCGCCAACACGCCTTAGGAGCTCCTGTAAAGTAGACATAACGTACTTCCCATTCGACAGTCAGATATGCAAACTAAAATTCGGGTCATGGACTTACCCAAAGGCTCAGGTAGACCTCGTCAACATGAGTGGATTGGTCGATCTGACCACGTACACAACGAATGGGGAATGGATGCTTAAAGAATACTACATCACACGTAACGAGATTGTGTACCCTATCGGCAATGATAAATACCCGGATGTGACAGTCATCATCGTCATACAGAGAAGAATCCTGTATTATATCCTCAATATCATCTTCCCGTGTTTCTGGCTCAATGTCCTCAGCGTGTTGACGTTTTGTCTTCCGCCAGATGCCGGAGAGAAGATCAGCCTTAGCATCACCGTTCTTCTCTCCTACTCTGTGTTCATGTTACTGGTGGCGGAGAGCATGCCGCCAACATCAGAGTTTGTGCCACTAATAGGTGGGTATTGTTTAAGTGTCACATGCCACTAATAGGTGAGTATTGTTTAAATGTCTCATGCCACTAATAGGTGTGTATTGTTTTAGTGACTTATGCCACTAATAGGTGTGTATTGTTTTAGTGACTCATGCCACTAATAGGGGTGGATTGTTTAAGGGACTCATGCCACTACTAGTTGTATATTGTTTAAGTGACTCATGACACTAATAGGTGTGTATTGATTTAGTGACTCATGCCACTAATAGGAGTGTATTGTTTTAGTATCTCATGAGACTAATAGGTGTTTATTGTTTCAGTGACTCATGTCACTAATCGGTGGGTATTGTTTTAGTGACTCATGCCACTAATAGGTGGGTATTGTTTTAGTGACTCATGCCAATAATAGGTGTGTATTGTTTTAGTGACTCATGTCACTAATAGGTTTGTATTGTTTTAGTGACTCATACCACTGATAGGTGTGTGTTGTTTAAGTGACTCATGCCACTACTAGTTGTGTATTGTTTAAGGGACTCATGCCGCTACTAGTTGTATATTGTTTAAGTGACTCATGCGACTAATAGGTGTGTATTGTTTTAGCGACTCATGCCACTAATAGGTGTGTATTATTTAAGTGACTCATGCCACTACTAGTTGTGTATTGTTTAAGTGACTGATGCCACTACTAGTTGTGTATTGTTTAAGGGACTCATGCCGCTACTAGTTGTATATTGTTTAAGTGACTCATGCGACTAATAGGTGTCCACTAATAGGTGTGTATTGTTTTAGCGACTCATGCCACTAATAGGTGTGTATTATTTAAGTGACTCATGCCACTAATAGGTTGGTATTGTTTTAGTGACTCATGCCGCTAATAGGTGTGTATTGTTTAAGTGACTCATGCCACTACTAGTTGTATATTGTTTAAGTGACTGCTGCCACTAATAGGTGTGTATTGTTTTAGTGACTCATGCCAATAATAGGTGGGTATTGTTTTAGTGACTCATGCCACTAATAGGTGGGTATTGTTTTAGTGACTCATGCCACTTATAGGTGTGTATTGTTTGTGACTCATGCCAATAATAGGTGTGTATTGTTTTAGTGACTCATGTCACTAATAGGTTTGTATTGTTTTAGTGACTCATGCCACTAATAGGTGTGTATTGTTTAAGTGACTCATGCCACTACTAGTTGTGTATTGTTTAAGTGACTCATGCCACTACTAGTTGTATATTGTTTAAGTGACTCATGCCACTAATAGGTGTGTATTGTTTTAGTGACTCATGCCACTAATAGGTGGGTATTGTTTTAGTGACTCATGTCACTAATAGGTGGGTATTGTTATAATGACTCATGCCACTAATACTTTGGTTTTATCTTTTTGTCACATGCCACTAATAGGTGGGTATTGTTTTAATGACTCATGCGACTAATAGGTGTGTATTGTTGAAGTGACTCATGCCACTAATAGGTGGGGATTGTTTTAGTGACTCATGCCACTAATAGGTGTGTATTGTTTAAGTGACTCATGCCACTAATAGGTGGGTATTGTTTTAATGACTCATGCCACTAATAGGTGGGCATTGTTTTAGTGACTCATGCCACTAATAGGTGTGTATTGTTGAAGTGACTCATGCCACTAATAGGTGGGTATTGTTTTAGTGACTCATGCCACTAATAGGTGTGTATTGTTTTAGTGACCCATGCCACTATTAGGTGGGTATTGTTTTAATAACTCATGCCACTAATAGGTGGGCATTGTTTTAGTGACTCATGCGACTAATAGGTGTGTATTGTTGAAGTGACTCATGCCACTAATAGGTGGGTATTGTTTTAATGACTCATGCCACTAATAGGTGGGCATTGTTTTAATGACTCATGCGACTAATAGGTGTGTATTGTTTAAGTGACTCATGCCACTAATAGGTGGGTATTGTTTTAATGACTCATGCCACTAATAGGTGGGCATTGTTTTAATGACTCATGCCACTAATTTGTGGGCATTGTTTTAATGACTCATGCCACTAATAGGTGGGCATTGTTTTAATGACTCATGCCACTAATATGTGGGCATTGCTTTAGTGACTTATGCGACTAATAGGTGTGTATTGTTTTAGTGACTCATGCCACTAATAGGTGTGTATTGTTTTAGTGACTCATGCCACTAATATGTGTGTATTGTTTTAATGACTCATGCCACTAATAGGTGGGCATTGTTTTACTGACTCATCCCACTAATAGATGTGTATTGTTTTAGTAACTCATACCACTAATATGTGTGTATTGTTTTAATGACTCATGCCACTAATAGGTCTGTATTGTTTTAGTGACTCATGCCACTAATAGGTGGGTATTGTTTTAGTGTCTCATGCCACCAATGGATGGATATACTTATCCCTATAGAGTGGTGAGTGTTGTATTGTTACATGCTACCGACTGGTAGGTCTAGGGTTACAGTGTACGTATCGAATGCAACTACTGGGTAATAGGTGAGTATAGTGTTGCATTTAATTGGAGGGTATTTATTTATTATCTCGGAGTCTGACAAGCGAGGATTAGGCTTTATATGTCGGGATGTTGGTTAACAACATTAGATTTGTGTGTGCAAAGAAATAAAACTATGTGAGAAAAGGAAAATAAAACTAAGACAAATTTCAACAGAGAAAATATATTTTCGGAGACTTTTGAAAAGGGAAACGAGAAAAAGGTCATGTGACCGTTGGGCATCGCCAAAGAAGCAGTTATTTAACTATATCCAGTTGTAAGTAAGAGTTTCATAGGGAAGTATTAACAATGACGTCCTCTGATCTTTTTGAGTATGAAGGACACCATTATAACACTATGGATATTTGAGTTAAGGGTCAGGATATCCCCCGTCTAGGCTTCTGGTAATATAGTGGCAACACCGCTGAAATTACCTCATGTGTGATAGGGTGAACGGCCAGCACCTTTGAAGCCTGGAACATTTTTGAATTTCGAGCACTTAAAAACGGGGTGTCGACCACCGCTGAAACTCTCTAAATCCGAATGAGTTACAACTTCCACTGCCAACCTTTTGAAAAGAGTATTTGTGAAGTCACCTCTATTTCCATCTGGATCAATGAGAGTTTAGATTCGCGAGAGTATGAAAGAAAAAGTTCTTAAACCCTAGAATTCTAGGTCTGTAAGAGAATGAGCAGGACTTACACAATCAAATGATTTACTACGTTATAACTTACGTTTTGTGATAATAACTTAATTTTTTGAAATTCCACACAAAGCCTAACAGATGGAGTGGAACAGGAACACTTAAATCTGCGATCGCATCTTAAAAACTAACTAAAACTATCCTTTTCCAAAGTTAAATTCCTGCAGTTTCATTAAATCAAACATTGGTCAACAATTACACATTTAAGTTACTCAGATGACCTTTATTTTACCCAAACTAAGTTTAAGGAAGGGATTGTAATCGTAAGAAACCATTGCGGATTGGCTGATAGACTTTCGTGAGTCCTAAATGAATGAAAAGCAGCATTAAAACATTCCTGTCGTTAGGGTCCAAATGCCAGTGCATATACATTCTAGTTTACTTAAGGAACTAAAATAAATGGGAGGAACTAAAATAATTGTAATATTTGTGACATTGATTTGTTTACTACCATAACTACAAGTACTACTGCATATTGTTTAAAAAGATGAAGCAGCCGATTTGTTAGTAGTTTAATAAAACACTTTCCTCAGCTTTAGAGCAACACTTTTGATATGATAACCCACTCATCTCAAAGCTAGTTAAAAACGGATATTTATATACAAATATGTGCATCAGGGGACAGTAATTATAGAGTCAACTTTAGGACACACACATTATTTATAGGTACTGTATATGTCCAGTACATGGCTGCCTATATCTGGACATAAACAACCACAACTATCAGAATATTAACGCGTGGGAAACGTTGCATCAAACAAGATAAAATCCATAGTTTTTACAAGTACTCTTCAATTAAGTGTTGGTCAAATTGTCACTTGGAAAGGAAAAACGGTGTAACAAAAATCAGTGTCTCCAGTGAGCGTAAATAAGTTCGACAACGAAAGCTGTATAAGATTGGAAGGCGATCGGTGGTCGGGGTATTGAACAGCTGTCTTAGAGACACGTCATCGATTGAAGTGCCCTCTGAGATCCTGAAGAGATGTTATTGAGAATCCCCGAACGTTAACCTGGCCTTATAGATATAATGGCGACCTGTACTCGTTCATTTGCAGAAGTCTGCAGCCGGAGTACAGTTAAAGGGACATTTAGTGCGGCGGGGTTAGGTATATCTGTATGATAAATGTAGATACAGTTTTGTCTAGACCACCACTGCAGCTAATGCTATTTAATTGCTCGTCTCAGTTATGTGCAGTGTATCCCACATATATACTGTGTAACTTTATTACACCTTACAATATCGTCGCTTCTTATAATGAAATATTTGTGATATTTTGATAAAGCTAGGAAGCGTTGACTTTACCGTTATGTCATGGTGTTTTTAAGTACTTACAAATTATTTTGTGGGTTTCATATTGTTCCAGAAATATAAGTGTCTTCTTAAAGATTCGTCTTGTCATGTGATGACGTTGTCTGAAAAAAATGTCATGCAATATAGCCTATAAAGAGTGTCATGTTATAGTGACTATTAGAGTGACATGTTACGGTGCTTTAGTGGAGTGCCATGAAATGGTATCTGAATAGAGCGTCATGTAATAGTGCCTGAATAGACTGTCATGTCATATTATCGTGTCTGAATAGAGTGTCATGTTACATGTATAGTGACTATTAGAGTGACATGTTACGGTGCTTTAGTAGAGTGCCATGAAATGGTATCTGAATAGAGTGTCATGTCATAGTATCGTGTCTGAAAAGAGTGTCATGCTATTGTGCCTTTATAGAATCTCAGAATCATTTAGTTTAAAATATTGTCATTAAATATTTGCGGCTAATATTATTTCTTACAATAGGAATTAAACATTAAACATCAACAGCATTGTATCACAGTCCTAAAGTA